GGCCGGGACTGTCGGCGGGCCGCAGCACCAGGCCGCTCGTCATGGCTGCGGCGGCGGCTGCAATGCCCCGGGCCGGGATACACTCGCCCCCGGGGGCCAGGGGCCGGGAGCCGCCTCCTCCTCACGAGCCGCGGGTCCTCGCTGCTCCGCCTCTTACTCGCGGCTCCTTCGTAGACCTTGGCGTTAGCGCCTTTCCGTAGGAACTCCAGCGCCAGCCGGCCCAGCTCGCCCGCCACTGCAACGACACGGCACAGCGCGCTCAGTCCCCAGCCCAGCCCAGCCCAGCCCGGCCCGGCCGCCACCGCCGCCGCCCTCGCACCTGCGCTGTCCAGGCGGGGCAGGAAGCCCAGGTGCTCCTTGTGCTCCTCCGACAGCACCAGCAGCATCCTACCAACCCGCCTGCCGCCACTTCCTGTCAGCTACAGGCCCGGGCCGGGCTCTGAGGCGGCCCCGCCGAGCGCGGCGATTGGCTGCTCTCGACCCGGCGGGCGGGGCCAGGGGCGGGGCCTGCGCGCGACCTTGTGTTTCTCGGGATGCTCCGCGCCGCTGGTGCTGGGCAACTGGGGAAGCTCGTCAGCGCCCGCGTGGGCGGGGCTGGTGTTTGGACAGCGGGGCGTTCCCTGCTAAGCCCTTGTTAAAGGGAGTAAACTATAAAAGTAAAGCTGATTGTCCTCATTCTTATTACTTGTTTTTGTAGAAATAGAATCTCCGTCTTTTTGTCTGCCTGTTTTCAGTGCACTGATTGGAAACGTTATGAAAAAGTCAGAATCGGAGGTGTGGTCAGTCACTAGGCAAACATATCCCATGGTAAGAGTGGCTTACCTGCCCTTTATGTCTGAAAGAGTGAAAAGGGAAGGGATGAACTACCCAGGGTGCCACACACACTCATTGTTCTTTCTCCTTCCCACAGAAATAACCGCCTCGGATATGATTTTTATCATTTTACACTGCAGGAAAGAAATTTAACCTGAAAGTGTTAACTGCATATCATGTTCAGAGATTTCCAGGAGTTAGACATGGAAATGACCGGTTAGGGCATCTAGTCCATCTGCCTTGCCAGTGCAGGAGGTTTCATTTTATATAATTCAGGGCTGTCCAAGTTGCAAGTAGCTCAGCGCAACAGTCCCCACCTCCTCGCACCACACGCCACGCAGACCAACACACCCTGGTCACGTATTGCAGGAGCTGCACGCTGAACCCTGACAGACCCCTTGGCCAGGGACAGAAATTACATAAACTAGTATAAGCAACCGGAAGCCTGTTCAAATCTGTAACACAACTGAAGTTCAGTACATTACATGTCAACTGCTTTCAAAACGGCCCAAACCGGTTTATGATAAACCTGGAAGGAAGTAGTATCAGGCTTAACTGATTTAAGTTAAATTGGTTTATTGAAGTTCTGTCCCAGATCCCCTCCAAATTCAAGTTAACTCACAGTCCCCCAGCATCCCAAGATGCCTTGCACCTTCCCTGCAAACCCCACCTCACAGGGTGGGCAGGCTAGCCTTAGCCCAAGCTGTCTGCTCCTGCTGAGCAGGGAGGGGTGCTCTAGGCGCCCCCTTTCCCCCCACCCCCCAGCTTCTGGATGCATTTCCAGAATCAAAAGTGAACATCTGTTTACTTAATGGTTCAATCTACACAGCTTAGACTAACCTACAAAGATTTAATACACTGCTGTATCGCAAAGGCCCCTCCCACACTGCATAGGTATGGTGTGCACCATGCGCCCCTGTATCTCAAGATGGGTGACAACTGCTGCACTACACCCGTGCCTCTGCATTGCACAGAGTCCCCCAGAGCTCCCCCAGCACTGGCTCCCTCTGCCCTGCAGGTGACACTGCTCTGCTCATCCCCCAAATGTGGAGGCATGTAACAGAAGTTGGAGGAAACAGGAGATGCCCTGTGACTTTCAAAGCAGCAGCAGGAGAGCAAAGGAGACGAGTGGCATCAGACTGGGAATAAGGGAAGCTGCACACTAACCCCCAGTGACATGCAGTCTGCGGACCACCAGTTGGACAGCCCTGGTATAATATAGTTCTCTGTGTATGGGATGGTATATTGGTGATGCGTAGGGGGTGCACATCCACCCCCTGAGATTGGCAGTGCACCCTGTGCAAGTGGCTGACACTGCCAGTGGCACCTGCGGGCAGTTGCTGCTCACCACCCCACCCCCGCTGCTGACACCGCTGGCGGTGTCTATCACCTCTGGGCACCACTGACAGCGGTGTGTGCCGGTTGTTGCCGACCGCTGGTCAGTGCTCACCACCCCCCTCCCTGCCACCGCAGCCACCTGTGGGAGCTTCCCACTCGCTGCCACTACGCCCCCATGGCCGCCACCTCTGCTACCGCCACCACCCGCAGGCAGTCGCCATGCCCCGCTAGCCTCCAAGGGCAGACGTCATTCCTGAGATGGTATTCCCAATTTAGTCATGTGGCAGTGTAGATGGTAGAGTATTTCATGGTAACTATGGTTCTCACACTGCTCATGCTAAAGTCAATTTCAAAATTCCCAAGGACTTCAGTGGGAGACAAAGCAACCTGTGTATCTGAATACACTTTGCAGACCTAAGAAATACAATCTTAGAGTTAGGATATAATCCAACTAACTCTTGCTCATTTAAATATGTTTTATTCACTACAACGTTAGCTGATAGGAGTAAGTGGAATATCACTACAATTATGTGAAAGGCATGTTAAGACTTTTTAAGCTTTTCAAATGCCAAGAAACTGGGCCAAAAAATAAAGACCAGTATCTTACATGTATTCACATGCATTACATGTTGTATTAATTGAGTTCACTGGGACACATATGAAGCATTACTCACATGAGTAAGAATTCCTGCAAGTAATAGTTTGCAGTATTAGGACTTGAATTAATACATATTCTAGAGTCAAAGAGAATGGGGGCATGTAAGTGAAACAAGATGGTTGGCAACTGAGGCCTGGATAGAGAAAGACTCAGTAAAGCAGATGGATACAGGATGGAGAGCTCCAGATGGCAGAAGCTGCAGAGAAGGCTTTAATGTGATTTAATTTTATCCAAAGTTATTTTGAAACTTTTAAAGATGATGAGTGGAAGGTCTTCCAAGTGGGAGATTCTTGCAAGTTCTTCTCATGCATACTAAAGCCTTAGCTCTAGATGAGGGGTTCCCAAACTGTGGTATGTGTACCCCTGAGGAGATGTAAGAAATCTCATGCAGGTATGCATTACAAATTGTGTAATGGCAGATTTAATTTTCATTATAATGAAATACAAGGCAGTAATATAACTAGAATGCAAGGCAGTTGATAGAATACAAGGCAGTTGAGGGGAAAGAGATTTAATGGTGGGGATCTACTACAGACCACCCAACCAAGAGGAAGAGCTAGACCAGGAATTCTTAAGTCAGCTCACGGAGGTAGTTAGGTCAAAGGACATGGTCATCATGGGTGACCTGAACTTTTCAGACATCTGCTGGGAAGAGCAGTCAACCAGGTCTGACCGCTCACGTAGGTTCCTAGCCAGAATGCAGGACCTCCATCTAACCCAGGAGGTGCCCAGCCCCACCAGGGGAGATGCCTTGTTGGACCTGGTGCTGGTCACCGGCGACAACCTGGTGAGGGGGCTGCAGGTGCTCGACCACCTGGGCAACAGTGATCATCACCTGCTGGAATTCACCGTCCAGCGCAAGGTGGCAAAGGCCTACAGCAAGGCAGCAGCCCTAGATTTCAGGAGGGTGGACTTCAA